TAATGTAAGTACAACCAGCAACCTGTAGCACTTAGGCCTATAGTTGACGGCCACAGGAGCGTAAGACAGAGAGAATGAGATGAAGACCTTTTGTGCGTCTGTTTACTGCCTGTGTTAATTTTGTCGTCTGCGTCGCTGTGTCCACAGGACCGTAAGACAGAGAGAATGAGACGGAAACCTTTTGTGCGTCTGTTTACTGCCTGTGTTAATTTTGTCGTCTGCGTCGCTGTGTCCACAGGACCGTAAGACAGAGAGAATGAGACGGAAACCTTTTGTGCGTCTGTTTACTGCCTGTGTTAATTTTGTCGTCTGCGTCGCTGTGTCCACAGGACCGTAAGACAGAGAGAATGAGACGGAAACCTTTTGTGCGTCTGTTTACTGCCTGTGTTAATTTTGTCGTCTTCGTCCCTGTGTCCACAAGACCGTAAGACAGAGAGAATGAGACGGAGACCTTTTGTGCGTCTGTTACTGCCTGTGTCAATTTTGTCGTCTGCGTCCCTGTGTCCACAGGACCGTAATACAGGAAGAAGGCGAGGTACACACAACACTAAGCACGTGCGGACACAACTAGACAACGCCATGCAGACGACAACAGCAACTCAATTGGCAGCCGACAGTTTGGTGACGTACGCATTTATTCGCATACGTCACGTCCACGACGCAACTCCCGACACTGACCACTGCGACGCTCCGTCAGTAATTACGTAACCGAAGTAAATACTAACTAATAAATAAGTAAAATTAATATAAAAAAATTGGTCCGAATTAAAAAAAAAATATATATATATACACCACGTGATTACATCCCCGTGACGTAGTCAGAAGTGAGAATCATCTTCAAGGAAAAGCCAGACACGGAGGCGGAGGCGGGGGAAGTGGAGGTGGGAGGGGGGGGGAGAGAAAAGCCAACCGCGCGATGTTTTTGATTTGAAATCGTGTAATTGTATAAGCGCATAGCGCGGCACGCTGGTTTGTGGCAATCAGCTGCCATGGCAACCGTCGCCAGGGGGCAGAGACGTCATCATGTGAGGAACTGTTAGAGAGCCAGCTGCGGGTGAAAACTATCCTCACGAAGCTGCAGAGGAAAGACATCGTCGGTGAGGTGCACCTGCATTATAGCTACCGACCACACGTCTGCTACATGTACCTACATATAATATCAACTATAGCTGTGATATACGTGTATATGTAGCTACCTCTAACCCTAACCCCTACGCTAACATTAACCTCATAGCTCTAACCCTAACCCCTACGCTAACATTAACCTCATAGCTCTAACCCTAACCCCTACGCTAACATTAACCTCATAGCTCTAACCTTAACCCTAACCCTAACCCTAACCCTAATCCTATCCCTAACCCTAACCCTAGCCCAAACACTAATACTAACCTCCTAGCCCTAACACTAACACTAACCCTAACCCTAACCCTAGCACTAACAATAACACTACCCCTAATCCTAACCCTATGCCTAACCCTAACCCTAGCACGAACACCACCCCTACCCCTACCCCACTAAAACCTTCCAGTCCTAACCATAACACTAGCCCTACCCCATTAAAATCTTCCAGTCCTAACCCTAACCGCAATTATAACCCGAACAGTAACTCTAACCACTAACATCATTGACTCGATCTATAACCTCAACCTTAATCATAACATAACAGTAACCTTAGTCCTCACCCATACGATCTTTATCGAACTGTCTTTACGTTCAAGCGGAGCAGCCAATCTGAAGTCCCATCTACTGCTGGCCTTCCCGCTGAAACTTATTTCACTCTCAACTCACCTCTTTCGCACACACTCTCACCCTCCCTCTCCACGCACACACTCTCCCTCTCTCTGCACACACACTCTCTCCCTCCCTCTCCAAACACACACCTTCTCATTCTCGCTCTCTCTCTCTCTCCGTCCCTCTTCATACACACTCGCTCCTTCTCCCCCTCTCTACCTCCCTCTCCACACACACTCGCTCCTTCTCCAGCTCTCTACCTCTCTCTCCACACACACTCACTCTCGCTCGCTCTCTCGTGCGGTTCTGCTTCACACGAGCAAACACTTCACTATCGGCATGAAGAGCAGACGCCAGTAGCAGTAGCAGCAGCAGCAGCAGCAACAGCAGCAGCAGCAGCAGCAGTAGTAGCAGCAGCAGCAACAGCAGTAGCAGCAGCAGCGGCGGCAGCGGCAGGAGCAGCAGCAGCGGCGGCAGCGGCAGGAGCAACAGCAGCAGCAGTAGTAGCAGCAGCAGCAACAGTAGTAGCAGCAGCAGCAGCAACAGCGGCGGCAGGAGAAGCAGCAGCAGTAGCAGCAGCAGCAGTAGCAGCAGTAGCAGCAGCAACAGCAGCAGCAGCAGCAGCAGCAGCAGACGATATACCTGCTGTTACTATGGTTATAACACTGTGGTCATAAGTCGCTGGCTGCTGCTGCCATGGTAATCGTGTTACTGAGGCTTCTTTACGGGATTACGGCTCAGTGATTAATGTTGGACACGAGGCGGGGCGTGCGATCGATCGAAGTGTACACGCACGCACGCAAACACGCACGCACGCACGTACGCACACACACACACACGCACGCACACACACACACACGCACACACGCAGGAACATACACGCACGCCCACACGCAACGACATACACGCACGCACGCACGTACCTACACGCACGCGCACGCACGCACGCATGCACACACACACGCATGAACACACACACGCACGCATGCACGCACACATTAACACATCTACGCACGCACACACGCACGCACACGCAGCGACATACACGCACGCACGCAGCGACATACACGCACGCACGCACACATGAACATACGCACACACACACACACACACACGCACGCACACACACACACACACACACACACACACACACACACACACACACACCTACACGCGCGCGCGC